TTGTGCATTGTCGGCTGACAATTAGGCCTTCCTTGGCCAATCATTGGTCACTTTGTCGTACATTGTAATCCTATAGAATCAGACCCGTCAGGGGTCGATCGTCGACCCTACTTCCGATTATCTACACACGTTAAATTCAGTTCTTTGATGAGTGTTATGCGTGACTATACGTGTTCAATCCACGAGTTGTTTCTTTTGCCAGGTCTTAAAAGTTCAGAAGGAGTGGATTGATATGCTGTCAAAAGAAGTGGAGACCAAAGGAGATCGACGCCCAGACTTGTATCCACCGTCTTCCAGCGAGAGCGAATATAGTGATGATGACGAAGAGTATGTCAAAAATATACACAGTTTCTACACAAACGCATCCGCTACTATCATTGCGTCGCCTTACGGGTGGTGTTCAGACATGTACGTGCATAAATGTATTCACCTGTTTGTTTGCGCTAACATAGGCAAATCACTAAAAGGCTACTGTAGATGACCATGTTTATGTGCTTCGCAGTGATAATACTCACACGTGGACTTCGGTTGTTGTTGTTCGATAGTCATGTCCTAAAATCGTTTTTGGAGAGACCACGTAGTTTACAATTAATTATGGCTTTAACTTGACCTCAAACACATTCAAACTAGAATAGGCATTGATAAGACTTTCCCTTTTTTTATATCAGGTCTGATGGCGCAACGGAATCCATTGAGGTAGACCGATTCGGCAATACGATAGTGAAGGGTGCAACAAAGGAAAATAGTAGCAGTCTCTACCCAGATTCTGAGAGTGATAGCGAGGCGAGTGACAGTGGTGAGGAAAATGCACAGGCCAAACTACGCGGTGATAGTAATTTAGAAGAGCTGCCTATCGACAAGCTCAAGCTGTAGAGTCTACAAAAATGAAAATTTTGTGCAATCAACTGGCGCATATACTCGCGGCGATGCATCAAATATAATAAATGCTATTATAAAATACACTTTAAAATGTGTGCAAGCGAATCACTATTGCTCACTATCCTTCCTATAATGTAAAAATGCTGTTCAAAGTCAATGCCTAGTATTAGTTATATTCTCGACACGTTCTGACCTATCGTATTAGTTATATTCTCGACATGTTCTAACTTATCGATGGCTACGATTGCTGGTTAAAAAAAAAGACTCTACAAGCTTCGCGTCTATGCTTTGTTCTTTGTCGAATAGCCACTTATGCCATGCTTATACGGGAGTAATATTACCCAATCCCATGGTCCACAGAAGGAAAGATTTGGCAATGCTGGTCGCACATTGTGTATCGTATTCGACGCATCCACACATCAGGTCTTTCAGCCAGGTCGTCGCACATCCGGCATACAGGTTGTACGAAAAAGGTTTAGTTCATCGGAGCTTAAGGGACAGTAAGCAAAGAGTTTGAATTTAAATTTAATTAGCGTTAGTAAATGTAAATTCTGCGTGAAACACCTTGTCTCTCTGATATCTCGTTGTTTAATGTGCCGTACCCAATAATAAACTCACTGTCGTTCAACTGACTATGCAAGCTTCCAAATTGCCCATTATTCGTAAAAGCATCGAAAGGTGGAGTTGCCTACCCCCCTAGTACACATGTCGCTTATCTGCACAAAGTACCGAGTCTATATGTATAAAACGTTGGCATCAAACAGCTGACTCTTCAAACCCGCGTAGTCTCTTGAATCGTATTATGTCTGTTCTGTACCTGGCTACTGAGCCGATTGCGATGACCTGGGCCAAAAAAGCATTCGCTCATCCACTACGTTTACCGATCACGAGGATAGGAATGCACAACAGGTAGTGCCTATAGAAAGCTCGCACGTGATCTGTCAAAGTAAAGTAGACAACCTCTCTGTGCAAGCTGAGAATGTGAGCCTGTGTAGTGTTGGGAGACTACCTCATCGCCATGTCTTCAACTTTACATCACTATACATACTACCAATCTCATGTGGTGACCCATGTTGGGAATGTATACCCGAAGCTACATATCCAGATTCTCGCTTAGTAATAAAATAAATTGCGCATTTACAATATAGACCTTCCTTCAATGCTCAACAGAATGTATAGTCATAGCCAACAGGCGTAATAGCTCAATCACGCAGAGATTATTTGCTCACCCGATGCCAACGCGGTTTTGAAATACGATTATAATTTGAACTACTACAGCTATATATACCGAGCACGACTGCTGTACTGGCATCAATCCTAGCCTCTGTATCGGATTTTCTCGAGGCATTCACAGCATAGAAACAATTAAGAATTGACACTCATTTCATCCTAAGTCATTTGGAAACCTTGGTGATCAAATTTTATTCTACACAGAATTTATGTAACTAAGGCACACACTAGAACCCATCAGTCATGGTGAAAAATCTGATCACCCTCATTTGTGGACAGCGTATCAACAAACCATATACAACTTTAGAAATCAGTGTACGCCCCAATTTGATCCTTGTCCGATGGAAACTATTTATTTTTCCATAGCAGCGATGATAGCAGCACTCATTTCTGTGCAAGACATAGAAGACTGTCCTTTCACGCCACCTAGAAGATCTCCCGTTCGACCGCCGTCGGCTAGAACTTTCTCGACGGCTTTCTCGATGCATCTCGCTTCGGCTTCTAGATTGTATGAATACCTCAACATCATCGCCGCGGATAGGATCTGTAAATGGTGTAAATATTGTAATTTGAGTGCGAGAAAGTGTGACGAGTCCAGCACACTGTTCCTACGCAACAGGCGGACGCAAGGGCATACACATACATAACGGCGCACTGCCAGATTCGAATCAAAAGAAGTATTGTTTGTACAATCGCTATTAAACATACCTGTGCAATAGGGTTCACCAAATTCTTGCCAGCGATATCGGGTGCCGTTCCGTGGATGGGCTCATACATGTGAATCGTATTCTCCCCTGTGATTAATAGTAAGAGACTGCGTGAGAAGTATGAAGGTATAGATTTTGCACAGTGGTTTATCTTTTTCAATTCATATTGGGGGACATACAGCCTATGACCACATTGACAATTTGTAGCCTATAAACAACTGAATGCATGCGCAAACCAATAAACTCTTGTACTGAGTACTATATCAGCGGAAGAATACTGTTATATCGAACGTGAGTTTCTATTAGGGGGTTTGAAAATTACTAAAACTGCTGCTCCGTCGTAGAATGATTTGAATTGTACTGGCGAAGGAAAAGAAGCAAAGCAGAAATCGATAGAGTTCACAAGCTATCTCGAAATATGTCGGATAAAAACACGACATAGACAACTGCAAACCGAAAAGTCTTAATCATGATAGAAGCCAAATCGCGGCTTCATATTCGAGAAATATTCCGAGTACAGGAAAACTCTAACAAAAAGCACTCACCTTCAACAGTGGAAAGGGACGCTGAAGGCATCAGACCCAGTGATCCAGGTAGCACGCTAGCAGCGTCACTCAGGATATCGCCAAACATGTTACCAGTCACCACCACATCGAACTGAGAGGGGTCTTTAATGATCTAAATAGATGTTAAAGTCGAAATAAGAACCAATCGGTCGCAGATTTATGTGGTAAAGTATGGTCAGAGCAAACAAGTATCATTCAACGGGCAGGGTCGCAAATAGATTTGCTCCGTGTAGCGAATTCGCTCACCGCTCTCACAGTAGGCGATGCAGCAAGCACATCACCGACCAAAATTCGCTTCAACATTCACGCTTGGACACATATACACATTGAACACACCTGCATTACAGCGTTGTCGATATACATGAAGTTGACTGTCACTTCGGGATATTGCTTTGCTAGATCCAGAGCAACCTTTCGCCACAGACGACTTGTGTCCAGGACATTGGCTTTGTCTACTACAGTAAGGTTTTTCTTGCTATGAATAAAATTGTAAAAAAAACTCAAATCTGTCAAGAGCAAATTCAACGAGAAGCCGAGACTGTACATTTGAGACTTAGTAAATATAATACTCACAACAGGGTAAAAAACGCTAGGTTCATGAACATCCTATTCGTAAAGCCTGTGAATAAGGTGTACACCAGGTGCAGGGGACGAGTTTATTGCTAAGCACGCCACGGAATTCGTGGGAACAGTACAAGACTCTGACCCGATTCGCCAGGAACATCCATCAAGTATTTAGTATCAGGGTGTAACGAGACTAGCACCATATGCACACGGCTTCGTGTCAACTATACATGTGCAGCAGTATATGTAAAAAGCAAGCATTGGAATTATGGAATCGTGCACCGAAACAGCGTTAGTCATCAAGATACCGTAGTTCACAGCGTTAGATTCCGCTAAAATATTTGTACACTTTGATATTCTTCTGTTAACATACGACTTATAACTTATATAAATGCACGTAGGGAGACGAGAACTTTGAAAGTAAATCATTTTTGACCAACACTTAGGATCGTATATTCTTTAGGTTTACAAGCAACATACCGAAGCATGGCACTCTCGAAGGCGAATCGCACTGGGGTAACGACCTCGTCCCAGGAATAAGACATGACATCTACAGCACTTTTGCCGTCTTCGGCTGTGCTGTGATCACCGAAGTAGATACCAGAGACTAGCTCTCGCACGATCACTACATCAATACCCTTGTTCACAATCGAGTCTGTAATTGAATTATGCAGTTGCAGGGCAATACTTAACGACAGTGGTTGTAGTAATGGCCACGTGGCAATTATTCGGTGAAGACATAGTGGCCCGTAACAGAGCTAAATCTAAATAAGAGGCCACACAGAGTAAATGTTTTGCTGCATGTGGAGAAGGCTCCACGCAATAGCAAACAAACTGACTTCCAGGTGCGCAAGTAATTACGATGAGGCACGTCATAAAAAAGTGGCCCTCTTTATCGTGGATCAAATGTTAGTCTAAGCTTTACAGCGATGTAAATACACAATTGACTACATACGTGAGAACTTAAGTGCAACAGAAGGCGTCAACAAACAGGTAAGCACCATATACGCACCCAATACTGCAAGCTTATATGTACAAAATATTTCTACAGTTCCGCCTTCCATAATACACACATACCTTTGAGTGGTGACAGGTTGCTCAAGAAAGGGTACACAGCAGCGGGTCGCAGGTTGACGGCCAAATTGAAGGCTTTTCTCAGGCCCAAAAGGGCGATTTTCTCGGCATCCTTCCACTTTGGAACATGCTGTTGATCCACTGGTCCTCCAACACATCCAAAAAGGATAGCCGAACTGTTCCGGCATAGCTCTAGTGTGGCTTCGGGCAGGTGCTGTCCATGCTTCTCGTATGCGATGCCTCCAACATCCGCGTGTGTGAACTCAAAACTGTGGCCGTACAGCTCAGTGATCTTGCCGAGTACATCGATAGCTCGGTCGCAAATCTCTGGACCTACGCCGTCTCCGGGGAGAACTGCGATCCTGTGCGTGGCTGAGCCTGGCATCTCTATAGTATATGGGAAGTGCTTAGTGCGAGTATGACTTCAAATTTACGGCCTGACATCATTTATTTATCAGCCGATATTTTACACATACTTTTTTGGTCGACATTTCAATGGCAAAAGCCAAAACTGACGTCTGACAATCAATAAATACAACACGGTGACAGAAATTCTCGATGTTTTTATATTTTTGTCGTTGGACTGATGAGAGTCCGAGTCACAAGTCCGAGCGTCCCTCTAATCTAGCACGAGAAGTAAAAACCAAAATATAGAGAGAACAATGAACATTCGAGCAAGGTAGATCCATCTTCATACATGACCCTCTGGAAGTCTCCCCGGGTTTTCAGTGCGAAACCCATCTCCAAGTCTTTCCACACTGGGAAAATAAAATTCCAATTCGAAATCCCCTGGAACAGACCTTCTGAGGGTCAGGCTTTATATAATTTTGTGCAGATAAAAAGTGGTTTGAACCATTTGGTTACGATTTGGAAATGATTTGGTTATGATTTGGTTATGATTATCAATTCTGGTTATGATTTTGGTTATGATTGTCAATTCATCCACTGTAAAGTAACATAGTAGCCGTTGTTTGAAGGCGTCCATTTTTTATGCCCTTTTCGGACAATATTCGCACGTGCGGAGATACTAAACCCCTATCTCTCGACAGGGTACTAATTTTATGAGATCTACCTCGACTCCTTCCAGACTTGCAAATTGTCCTGCTGTCTAGCTAAATACGTGAATAAGCACATTCCACCCATGGCCGTAATTTAACTTCATATTGCACACTTTTAGAACAATTCGTCTCATGTAGGTCTCAAAAACGTAAACAAGATCCATTTTCAAAGAGAATATACTGACTAGGTAGGGTATATATTTTTATCAGTACGTGACTGGATCTACCTCGACCCCTTACAGACGAACAAATTATGCCATCGAAGTTCGAACCTCAATTGTAGCTATAAAATCGACAGTCCTGCCGCCTAAATAATTGTGTGACAAGGAGTACTTTTTTTTTGTCTGGATCTACCTCGACTTCTTACAGACGTGTAAATTATGCTACCGAACCTCGAACAGTTATGAAGATCAGCATTACTGTTCACTTAGCTAAATATTTGAAGTATCACACGCTAGATATGTCGGTAACTTCGAATTGATATTGCATACTTTTGAAAAAAATTCGTCTCATTTCGGTCTCGAAGACGCAAACAATCCGTTTATTTACAAGAAAATATAAAGAGTATATATGTAGGATTTCTTTAATTAGTTCGTTTTTATTAGTATGTGACTGGATCTACCTCGACTCCTTACCATAGCCTTGTTCAATTTAGAAGGCTATGTCCTTACAGACACACAAATTATGTCTTGACTTTTTTTTCTCTATTTCGCGCCGTCAGCGCTTTCTATTTTTCGGACTATTCTACACCGTAGCTTTTAAATAATCCTATTTCTGGTGTGAGCGTGAATCGCGCCCGATTCGGATCCAGAGAGCATTCTTTCCTCTCTCATGTTGCAGTCCTGACGCAGTAAACTCAAATCATAAGTTGAGCAAGCTCATCTGCGCTCGGCGCGGTGAATTTCTCATCTCGGCCAATCCGGCGCGTCCCTTGGCTTGACTGGAGACCTTTAACGCCGGAGTTGACATCGACCAGTCGTCGTGTGATAGGCGACGTTCCCCGTATATAGCCCACATGGTAAACGACAATCTACGGTCAGTATTTTCCTCTGTGGTCCATCTTGATATACTCAAGCCACCAAAGGCTCTCCTACTGAATTTGTAAGCGATACACATGCAGATTCCGACTCCGCTACAAGCTTTTTATCAAAATCAACTACTGACACTGCTTCGCTTGAAGCGTTCGCGGGACACAGAGAGATTTGCTGAGATTTTCCGATCGGAGTACCAGTACCACTCACGCCCTTTGTTTCTCCAGGTGCACTGGTCTGCTTGGCGATGGGTTGAGCTTGAGCCGGGACAAATCCTGGTACATGGGGAGCCATAACATGGGGTGGCAAACATCTCAAACCAGGTCTTAGAGTCGGATCCATAGCAGGCATAGAGCCGCGCATCTGATTGATATGCTGTGCAGTTGGTCGGTGAGCTTGCATTGAAAATTGTCGCATTACTTCGACGTTGCCAGCTAAATTGCTCATTGAAATAGGAGTGCCGCCCGATGGCATCAGTGGAACACCGGGTCCTCCAAAACCCACAGGGGTGTACGCGGGAAGATTGAGTTGCAGAATAGCAGCCACATTGGGTGGGAGAACACCGTTGTTACTAGCTACCAGTTCAGCAATAAGAGCACCGTTGCACCGACCTAATTAGATAAACAATATGTAGATTAGTACGGAGTGCGTCAATTAGACAGAATTGTAGAATAGTACAGGTGGGGTTGAAACTCTACCAGTCGAAAAGCTATACTGCTTAGTATCAGCGAAAAGGAAGCAGGAGGAAGTCAGTTGACGAACATACTTGTTGCGGCGAGGCGCTCATTCAACTTTTGAATGACGAGTTCGTATTGACGACATCGGTGTTCAATTCCTTTCACATATTCCTTCTTTTTCTGGCGACTCTCCTTAGCCATCTTTCGATTTTTCTCTGTAAGAGTTGAAAGTGGACATATCTTAGAATCACAACAAACTATTTTCATATCATCAGTCGCAAAATCACGAACCGAAGGAACAATATGATGTGCGGATGATCTGTGCATACAGAAAGAATCCTCCACATACCAAGTTTAGCCTCCAGCTTCTCCAGATCGTTTTTAGATAACTGAGTACCCATAATCTGAGCAGCCTGCAGCTCTCCCTGTTTCAAACGCTTGCCACCAGATCCTACTGTATCAGTTCCTTCCAAGCTCAACCTACCCTTAGAGCTTGTGTCCTCCAGTCCTGTGAAGTTGGTCAGGCCAGTCATGGTGCTGGCCATACTGCCGAGTTTCTGACTGGCATTGCTGGAGCATTCGTCAGTGGACGCCGACGGATCCAGACACAGATCCATATCCGATGTCGATAAAGAGAAGTCAGTACCTGCATACTCGAATGCCCCGAAGTCGAGACTTTCAGCAGTAGGCAGTGTCTTGAGTTGCATTGGCGCATTCGGTGCGCTTGGACTGGAACTTGTACTCGCCAAGGTGCTAGGGTTTGTAAACTCGCCAAGTGACTCAAGAGGATTCTGCTGTTGCGCTTGCTGATGTTCACTCAACTGCATTGCCTGCCTAACGGCTGCGACAGTTATGCGATTGGCACGCCTGCGACCGCGATGGCGTACGGGCCCGCCCACCCTACCGAGAGCGCTCTGAGTCAAAGGCTGCGTAGCACTGGTGCTGGCGCGCATTGTACTAGTACCATCAATTAAACCTTCAGTTGTGTTGGTATTTTCTGCGGTGATGTCTGCCGGTGCGAGCGACACAACTTCGTCTGAAGGACTCTGTACACTCAATGTACTCAAGGAAGCTGTTTCAGGAGACCAATTGACACTGCTTTGGATAGACTCCAATGACGGAAGACCCGCCGCAGTTTGGACTGGTGAGCTGAACGAAGTGACATCGTCTAACAGTCCATCGTCCACTTGTGTGTTCGACTGTGTATCGAAGATATCTGAAGCGAGATTCACGTCTGCGTCGGCCGCAGCGTAAAAAGCATCATCCAGCCAGTTCCTGTATCCGATAAAGCGTCGTAAATGGCATGAGATTTAATAAACCTACGGAAACAAAGCAGCAAGCGTACACAAACGAAACAAATGTGTTGGTTGGAATAATACATACACAAAAGAAGGTGCAAAATTCGAGTATACAGTATGTCGTAAATAGCACATACGGCCACCTAAAAGAAGAATGATCTCGAAAAGCGTGTCTGCATTTCAATATCTATTTTTGTAGCATCAAGGCTTCCCAATACTCGATAAGATAACCGTTGCACTATACAACTGATCAGGTGCGACTAACACAAATAAATTCAACGACAAAAACACAGCTCTTCAGAAAGAAAGAAATAGCATAAGATGATAGCTAAAAGTAGAAACAAGGCGCAATATGTGCAGCAGCTAAACCAATTGAAGAATGAAGAAGCTAAGCAAGTCAAACTTGTCGACACCTACGTACCGCATATCACGTAAATAAACAGCAAGCGAAACGATCTAAAAAAAATCGCAATTACACGAGGTATGAATATTTCGAGTAGCTGAACTTACGCAGAGTCCAGAAGCCCAATATTATCATTCACGTCGATATCCAAAAGAAGCTCATTCAAATTGAATTTGGAGAACAAGTCTTCTGAGATCACCATGGTTCCACAGTTCTTGATTGGGTATTGATATGGGAAGATCAGCTATTAATGTTAATAAATGGGAGGATGTAAAGCTGAAGTAGTTATGGTGTTATTTCGTATAAGTATGCGATGTGTACTCTACATCAATTTATGCCAGCTTCGTGTGCGTGCAAAACTGCTTTTGTGTCAAAACTCAAAACAAGATTTTGCAAATGCAGAATGCCAGCCTGTTGTCTACTCTAAAAGTTCCAACTCTGCAAGACTGCAATGACTCGATACTCTCTCGGTAGTGCGGACAGCTCACACTTGACAGTATAGATGGTAGGTGGTTTTTATCTTACTCTAAACCCATAGAAAAACTTGGATCAGTGAGTACTGGTTATTTTTCGATTCTTGGGCCCTGGGCCCAGGCCCCAAGGCCCAAGGAGGTGTACACCCTACAGTCTACACTCTACTAATCTACAGTCGAAAACACAGTCCGGACTCTTCAGTCTGGAGTCTGGACGGGGTAAATATTTAAAAATAGAGATGGGTCACAGCCTCAGCCCTCACAGGGTTGGTCTTGCTTTCTCTGTGATGAGTCTTGTGACTCTCTTGCGTGTGTGGCAGACCAGAGTGGAGTCCACTTCGGCTCGTCGTCATTGTATTTTTAGTTTGACGAAACACTGCGATGAAAAAACCATCCGAATTCCGGGTTAACTCTCTTCTAAAATTAGTTTGTAGAATAGCTGAATCAGCCTGAATATTTGACTCCGAAATTGAAAACTTGGAATTGTTTCAAATTCAAAGAAAATAATATTACTGGATGAAAAAGTTAGTATCCAATAGTTACTTTTCAGGATTTTAAATGGAGTCGAAAACAGCATGTGCGTCGCTTTCAAAAAATGCTCTCATTTTATTGTGGATTGTGACACCTTCCCTGTGTTATTTTAGATATGTCATAACTCATATGTGTTGACGAATTTTGAGTAAATAGCAGATACACAGATAACAGAATACGACTCACCGGAAACCGAGGTCCGAGTCACCACTGTTAGAGTCAACAGTCAACTGTTGACTAGTGTCAGTGTGGCCGTGACCAGTGAGTTCAGTGAGTCGACTACTGACCCCGCCACGACCAGAATCACCAGACTGAAGACTGATGAGTTACTTTCTGGCTCACTGAGCACACAGCACAGCACTCAGCACTGTTAGCAGTGAGTCAGCAGTCAGCGCTGTCAGTAACTCAGAACCAACGCTACTCAGCACTCAGCAGTTAGCAGACTCAGCTCTCGGCAGTATTACCTGTCACTGAGTAAATGAGACTTTGAGTCACTGGACTCACTGCAAACTGCAGACGGGCGAGTGGCGACAGCAGTCAGCAGAGTGCAGAGGAAGACTGCTATGAGACACACACAGCCAATGCAGGTCGCAGTGCCCCGAGGCCCTCGAGGGCCCCGACATGATGCCGATGGGTCTGAGACTCTGAGCAACTGCGGCAGTGCCGGACTGCCGGGCTGTGCAGCATAAGCAGTTAAAAGCACAACTGTTGAATACTTGAACTACATATACATGTTTTTTTTTATTAATAAAAACAAATACACGCAGTTTGCACTCTGCACTCTGTACTGAGTTTTTATACTCTACACTCTGCAGTCTGCAGTCTGCAGGCTATTTACAGTTTTACACTGTAACTCTGCACTGAGCACTCTGTAGTCAAAGTCTGGGACATTGGGACACTACTGGGGGGACTGGGCCACTGGGGTGAGGGGTCTGCTATTTATTTGATGTTCTGGCTGGGGCCCTGGGCCTGGGGGCTGGGGTTGTGAACTTCAAAACTTATCTTCTCTCGTGTATGTGAGCCTGTGAGGCGTGCCCTAGCGGACTGGCCCCTGGCCCCTGCGGGGTCTGCACTCTGCAGTTCTGCTAAATATTAAAATATGCGCCTAGACTAATAGAGTAAATCTCTCTCTTCTAATAGAGTAGAGGGTGGGGGTCTACACTACACTCTGGGCCTTGAACCCCTACTAGCTAGAGCTACTGAGTACTAGCCCCTCCCTCTCTCTAGTAGTAGAGAGAGAGTAGTCCCTCTAGCTCCTGGCCCGTGCCCCCTGTCCCCTGGGCCAGGGGCCCTGCCCTGGGCCTCCTGTTGTCTGTACCTACTCTCTACAGTCTACAGTGACACTAACTCTCGCAGTCTCGCACAGTATTCATAAGTATAAAAAAAACCAAAAGTGTAGTAGCAGCTAGGACTAGGAGTAACATTAAAAAAACTATTCATTACTAGGTACATAATCTCTGTCAGACCCTGCCAGCCTAGGTATTTACTATTTACATATGTACCGAACCGGAGATTTCAGCTGTCAACCTGTGACATCTGATAGCGGCTTGAGCCCCTCGGCAGCGCACGGCCCCCGTGAACGGCGAACTGTAGTTAGGAGCAAAGTAGTAGGATATAGTCTAAGTCTCTTATAAGCTATAGAGGTAGGCCCCTTTTGCTACCGTAAAAAAATCAGACTAATAAACCTGTTTTGAAGCTCCTTCGTCCTGCCAAGTGGCCTAGCCGTACAATTAGTCTGATGTTATTGGCCACTTTACGGTAGCAAAAAGCGTCTACCTTGCCTACAGGAAGATGCTTCACCGCTACAACACACGCCGCCTCTCCTGCTCTCAGGCACTCTTTCAAGAAGCCGGCGGGAAACCCATATGCGACCCCCGTATTCACGGTTATACTATCAACGGCATCGATCGCCTCTGGCCGGCCATGTACCGCGGTTCCAAGTTTAACCTGGCGCAGCGACAGTATCATATCACTGACCAGGAAACCATGGAACTGGCGTTCTAGGTTTC